GACGAGGGTAAACTGACCAGTTGCTGAGAAGGTGTGGGTGAGGGAATAGGACCCATTCCAATCTGGCATTAAATCGAGGATTGCTCTTGGAGGAATGAATAATGTAAGAAATTGAAGTGTCACAATGGTGCAAAGGGGATGCTCCTGTGAGGTTGGGTTGAAGTCGCTGGTTTACAAGGAACATGCAAACTCCATGTAAACTTTGGTGTAAGTGGCTCAGGAGTGTCTTGATGCTGAGATCGAGCTCTCCAAATCCATAATCATAGCCAACGCAATATGTCCCCATTCTAGACTGGGTTTTTCTTATCTTCATATCATAATCGCCTTTAAATCCAAAGTAGACTTCAATCAGGATGCTCTCAGAATTAAAATTAACATGGCCACTAACATAATGCCTGGGAAAGATTATCCCATATTGGTCCCTTGACAGGCCAAACTGCCCCTTTTCATTTTGTGCCCTTAAAGCTCCCTTCCATTAGTATTCTCCCCTCTCACTTACCCCAATGGGTAAGCCAAACCAAGTCCACCACCTCCTATAAAGGGGCTTTCAGAAATCACAAAGTCTACAAAAAAAGGCCACAGATGTGTTTGCAGATATGTTAGCCAGGCTCAGCTGGTGGCACTCTCACCTATGGGCCAGAATGTTGTATGTTCAAGCCCGATGCCTGGATCTAGCTCAATGTTCCACCCCAGTACTGCAGGAACCCTGCATTGTCAGATTTGTGGTCCTTTGGATAAAATGTTAAACTGAGGTCCTGTCTTCAACACTACCAACAATTCTACATTTATCTGGCATTTTTCATGTTGGGAGGACATCTCAAAGTGCTTAATTCAGGTGGTCTTTAAAATCATGTGACATTATTTGGAAAAGGGAGTTTCTCCCTGTGTCCCAGCCAACAATCCTCCAGATAAAAATAGCCTTTCAGTTTGTAGCTGTTTATGAGTCATTGCTCTGTGCAAATTGTCTCCTATGTTTACTCACAAATAGTTATTACGCTTTACAGAGGCTCTGAGTCTTTTGCATCTTCTCTGCAAGGATTAGTATTAGTATTATTAATAATAAAATAGTTGACAAACTCACTGCATATTGAATCCATTTAGTCTCTGCTCAAAACTCTTTGAATAATAAACGTAGCAAGCAATTTAATCTGGCCTAGATCCCACATGGGTCTTGATCCATTTTTGAGATGACTCTTTTGGCACATTGAAACCTCCTGTGCTGAAAAGTTCAATAATCTTTTTTCTCCCCAGTCCTACAAATCAACCAAATGCAAATCAAATGCCATAGTTTGCTACATATTCAATCTGATATGATATCACCTCATTTTCATTTCTAAAGAAATTCCACCTCAGAGAATCCAAATCATTTTTTTGAAACTGTTCAACGGCTCTCAGCCCTGGTCGAAAATTGAATCTTTTTGCAGAATTGCACAAAGAATCGTCCCACTGGGGTCTGGCAGGCATCCAATCTGACTCAGGCTTTGTATAACAATATCTTTTATCACCATCACGCAATGCCTGGTGGTGTGGAGATGCAGTATATTTGAGCTTTAACACTCTATATCCAAGAAGAGTAGAACATGGGTCTTCAGTACAAAAACACAAGGATGTTGTGAATTTGGTCAAGTGCCTGTAACAATGAAACACACATTTCACAGCAAATTGTAATGATTGTATTTGTAGGTAAATGAGATTGTGGCAGACCATTTGTACACAGCTAGAAGTAAATGATCAATTTATCAGCTCCTTTTCTCTTTCAAATAGTAGCATACGTTCACCTGAACAGCAAGGAGCGCAGTTTAATGTCTCATCTGAAGGATGTCACATACAACAATGGAGGGCTTCTCCAGCAATCTACACTATGATCTCAAATCCTCATATGGGCCAAAGATGAAGGAACTGAGCCAGGGTGACACCTGGTGTTAATAATGTGTTCATTGATACAACAACAACAAAATACATGTGTATAACGCCTTTCACATCAGGAGGACGCCCTGATACATCCTAACATCGCAAAATATATCCCAAAGTTCATCCATGAAATCTTCATCAAATAAATATATCAATTTGAATAGAAAGCTATATGTCTATCTAGCTATATATGTGTCATTCGTATACATGTTTTGTGGGTAAAAATGGCATTGAACATTTTGATTAACTTCAAATATTTTATGTGGGATGTTGCTGCGTGCAAATCGGCTATAAATATACAGTCACTCCATTTCACAGAAGTGAGACATCTTCCTGTCATGAAAGTTGCTTTCAGTGAAGTAATGAATGGGTCCTTCCTGTGAAACATGCAGTTGAATAGTTCAGTGAACAAACTTTGATTTAATTTAGGTTGACTTCATTTGTATGCATATTAAAACATGTTTTGCCTGAAATTCCACCTCCCACAGTGTTAGTCTGTGAAAACATTTTGTCTTAAAAATTAAAGATAGCGCAAAATTGTGGAAACATCTTTAAATGCAGCCTTAATTTAGAAGCTGCTTTACTCCAGTTCTTAAAAAGAAACAACTTACAATACAATTACAATACAATTTACATTTAGGTTTAAACATTAAACAAGTCCTGTAGTGTATTGATTAGGGCACTCTCCTCGCAAGTGAGAGGATCTGGGTTTGATTCCCGGGGTGGGCGAAATGCTAGGCAAGTTTCCTTACTCCACGTGCCTCTGTTTACCTAGCAGTAAGTAGGAACCTGGTTGTTAGTCGATTGGCAGATTGGTTTTCCAGGGGTAATAATCCCTTCAAAATAAATATGCGCAATTGACTGCTGTGTTTTGCAAAAACAATACAGTCAATTCACTTTATAGTATATTATGTGAAGAGCTAAGAGCTTTGAGGCATCTCAAAGATGAGATAAGGTGCTCTTTCAAATGTAAGGATTATTATTATTGGGTGTGTGTTGGTGGCCGGTGTGTGACTGTGGTACCAATGTGAAGAAAGTATCAGTTTCACTGATTGTCCACTAGAGGGCATCAATTTCCGCTCTTTGACCTTCACAGAGGGACATTGAAACTCAGTTTTATTCTTATGTGGAAATTCTGTCTTCATTTAGAAGCTGCTTTACTCCAGTTATTAAAAAGAAACAGCTTACAATACAATTACAATAACATTTATATAGAGGATGTCTCAAAGCGATTAAGACCAAATTGAGAATTTTCCACAATTTTGTGGAATTTGCTGGAATCTTGTATTTTGAGAATGGTCTTATAGACTGAGACTAGGTGAAATTTCTGGCCTTGGTTGTGCGATGGTAGAGGAAAATATCAGTTACACTGATCGACCACTAACAGGCATCAATTTCTGCTCTTTACCCTTCACACAGAATCATTGACACTAACCTTACTACAATATTCTCATGTGTTTGGTAGTGAGATGGATTGTTGTCTTGCCTGTGAACATAATTTTTGTGCATTTATTGGCATATATATTGCACAAAAGTCCTGTGGAGTCCTGTAGCTCAGTGGTTAGAGCAATTGCCTCACAAGTGAGAGAACATGGGTTCAACTCTCGGGTGGGGCGAAACATTGGACAAGTTTCCTTACTCCACTCGCCTCTATTTACCCAGCAGTAAGTAGGAACCCGGGTGTTAATCGAGTGGCAGATCGCTTTTCCGGGGATGATAATTCCTCAAAAAAAAATTAATAATAATTTGGTCACTCAATCCATGACTGTTTGTGGGACACTGCTGTGCGCAATTGGCTACAACGTTTTTCCCACAAACTATACAGTCAATTCACTTTACAGTATATTCTGTGAAGTGCTTTGAGCCGTCTCGAAGACATAATAAGGTGTTGTATCAAATGCAAGGGTTATTATTATATAATTTAATATAATAATTGGCATACAAATGTAAATTTGTATTGTAAACCCCTCAAAGTAAATATGAAACCTCAATGTCCCACAAACAGCCAGGACACTGGTACAAACATGTTTCTCTTTTCAAATAATGGGTTTTTCAATTCCACTTCAAATGCAGAGCTTCCCCGAATCCAGCCTTAACAGAAAGCTCTAAGCCCCCACTGTGGGGATTCAACCTACAACCTTCTGATCCTCAGGCAGGTTTGCTACTGAATGAGCCAGGCTGAACATTCAAAGTATTTGAAATGAGCAGGTCAATAAACCTGTATGTAAATCAACCTGCTTCAAGCATTGGAAAAACTTGCATTCCTCAGCAAGAATATATTGCCTCAGCTTAATCATTCATTGTAAATCACCTTCAGAAATGAAGGCGATGCTGGCTGACAAGTGAGGTATTTATTCTTGATGAAAGGATATATAATTTTTGAGAGGAGTGATCAAACTCCAGCTCTTGACAGGTGAAGCTGCATTGGGATTTGTACTCCCTCACTCATATAGTATTTTTATTTAGCTTGACAAAAAAGAACCAAGAAATATATTTAAAAGATTATTACAATCTTTTATGTTTTGAGTTAACAGGAGAAGGAGCTGAATTTGACTGATCAGAGGATGGAGAAATTGTGCACGATATTCTTTACTTTTATTGAGTGTGTTAGAGCTAAAAAGTCAGGATGATTCAGAAGCTAAAATGACTGCAGTACTGAGGAGTTCAGATCAGGAAGACTATCACCGAGGACAAGACCTTCCGATCACTGGGATGGGGACATTAGCATTCTGGTATGCATTGAATTCTAAACTCAGTTTAAAAGAGCTTTCTCCTCCTGCTGCCTAATTTGGGTTCCACAAGACCTTCCAACAGTGCAAAGAGCAGGAATCTGACATTATATATCACCCAGGTCCCTTTCAGAGAGAAGACCTTCATTCCAATAGCCTGGGGCTGGATCGCAGCCCAGGGTTCCCAGAGTTCAAATGGTGCACACCATCATACAGCACAGTCGGTGATATAATTTGTTCAGACAGCTTTATTAGGAACTTTAATGCACAAAAAAATCATAGAAAAGTCAAAGATTGTACAATCTCTAATTAGCAAATGAGGCACTTGTGCTTAAGCCAGAATCTCACTGACTCATCCAGCATTAAGGTTGAGTAGGTGTCACTGCGCTGGGGAAGCAGCTCACAGTACAGTACTGATAGTGTCAAACTCCTTGGTGATTTGGGTACTGGGCAGCGACTTAAGGTACTCCAGGTGGCGTCTGGCATCCTCCTGGTTCTGACGCACATAGTACACGATGTAGGAGATGACCATAGTAAACCAGCCAAACATGGTGATGAACATGGCGATGTCCGTCGTCTTCTGGTGAATGTTGCAGAAATTGATACCTGAGTTGAGCACCTGGATCAGGGGTTTGCCTGTGTACTCATCCTGCACTGAGGACTGGCAGATAAACTCATTGACTGTCTCCGGGTCCAGGGTCAACTCTTCAATGACCTGTTGGAGCAAACACTCACAGTGCCATGGGTTGTCAGAGAGTCGGATCTTTGCTTTAATTTTACTGAAGACTTCCTTTGGTACACTCTGGATGTTATTACTCGAAAGATCAAGCATTTTAAGACCCTCGGAGATTCCTTTAAATGCTCCAATATCAATTAACTCAATGGCGTTCTTAGATAAATCCAGTTCTTTGAGTAAGTACAGGTCCTTGAAGGCATTGTTGGGTATTTTGGTTATCTTGTTGGAGTCCAGGTGCAGTGTCACGGTATCGGCTGGGATGTCCGCTGGGATTTCCTTCAAGTTCTTATCAGTGCACTGCACAAACTTCATCCCATTTTTATCCAGACACTTACAGCTTTTGGGGCACGATGTGGTGACCACCTGAAGGAAAGGGAGGAGGAGCAGCAGAGTGCCCAAAGCCATCGAGTGGGCAACCTTGAGCCGTATCCATGTCAAGCCTGTCCACAGCATGGTAAAACACTTCTCAGTCCTGCCCACAGAATGACTGTCCATTTGACCAGTAGCTTCTCATTTCACATGGTTGAGACGATTTTCCAACCCCAGCAGATCTGTGAATGGAAAGAAAGGTGAGATACGCAAAGTCACACCCATAGTGCTTTGTCTGTTCTCATTCATACAAGCTTGAAGGGATTACAGAGATAGAGCTCTATCCCAGCATTGATTTGCCTTGTTTATTGCTGCCTGATACTGTTTGACACAGTGAGTATTGCGTAAACTAACATCTCTAGATTTCCTTCAGCTTCCCTCTGTCCTGTGCACAGAGTACATGTACCCTATTCTTACTTTCCATATGCAAAACCTTGCATGTATCTGTATTGAACTTCATTTGCCAGTGATCAGCTGCAAGTGCCTACCATATCAAACTCTCTGTGTAAGACCTTTGCTACCACTTTTAATTCCACGCTCCCTCTCCTCCAACTTGGTCTCATCTGTAAATTTAAATATAATTGGGTCTGCGAATGCACGTCATTAACATGTACAAGAAACAAGAGAAGGTCCCAGTACAGACCCCTTAATACCTAGTCCTATTTTGACCCAGCTCCCCTAAAAAAAAACTTCTGCTTCCAACTCCTTCAACCAATTTCAAATCCATGCCCTTGTCTTGCCCTTAATAAGAATAATCCTTACATTTGATATAGGCCTTTCACATTCGAAGAATGTCAAAGCACTTCACATGATATACAGTACTGTGAAGTGGAATAACTGTATTTTATGAACAAATCACTGATGTGGTACTGTGCCGAATGCCTTTTGGAAGTCTGGAATACACTGCATCATACAGGTTCCCACAGTCAATTTGGGATGTCACCTCTTCAAAAAGTCCGAGGCTGGTCAGACAAGATTTACTCCTCCGGAACTCATGCTGCTGTCAATTATTAGTTTATTAAATTATTTTTATACAAGTAATTTTCCATTTTTTTGCTGATGATTTACTTATTTTTTCCAATTATTGAGATCATGCTATTGAGTCTGTAGGTGCAAGGTGTGGTTATGTCACCTTTCTTGAATATGGAACATATTGTGGTTGCTTGCTTCTAGTCTGTTGGTCCCTTACCAATCGTGATCGATTTCCTCATATTGTCTAACCTGCCTCATGTCCCTAAGTATTCTAGGATACAGTTCTTCGGTACTGGAGTACTTCTTTGTTTTCAGTCCCTTAAGTCTTATCTAGAATCTCAGCCTCACTTATGTCAAAGACCTTGAGCTCAAACATTTTATGTTGGATGTTGGGGATATGTGTAGCTTTGTGGAGTCCTGTAGCTCAATGGTTAGAACACTTGCCTTGCAAGCGAGAGGACCTAGCTTCGATTTCTGACAGGGCGAAACATTGGACTCCACTCGCCTCTACACGCGCCTATTCACCTAGCAGTGAGTAGGAATCCGGTTGTTAGTCGATAAGCAGATCACTTTACCCGGGGCTAATAATCCCTCAATAACAATAATAATTTGGTCACTCAATCCACGATTGTTTGTAGGACACTGCTGGCCCTCATAGCCTTAGGTTTTGCAAGTTGAACACTAGAGTTTGGTTACATGCTTGTGTCATTTCCCAAATTGAAATGAATGTTATTGAGCTGTGGTCACTGTCGCTGAAGTAAGGCAAGTGCTGGAAAGAGCTTTGAATGTAACATCATCCAAACAAGACATAGTGTGACTATTCTAAACATTACTGCTATTTCACTCAGTCTTTAGCAGCAAACACAGAGTGATGGTGAGACCTTTACAGCCTCACTGTCTGAATGTTTGGTTCAGGTCACAGAATAATAATAATCCTTGCATTTGATATAGCGCTTTATCACGTCTTCGAGATGTCTCAAAGCGCTTCACACAATATACTGTAAAGTGAATTGACTGTATATTTTGTGAGCGAAACACTAAATTATTTGGATGCTGTTATGTTCCAAGTGAAAGGGCAGCAATTTATAAAAAGTAGCCAGCTCCCAAGTAATGGTTGAATTGGGGAATTTTTCACACCTCTGCAACAACCTTAAATTTTAAGACAAAAAAATGTTTCACAGGCTAAGTAAGACAAGATGGAATATCAGCCCCACTGTACTGCTCAATCCTTCTCTCAGGGAAGATGAACTCAATTATCTTTGTCTGGATTGAAATGATAATAAGTCACAGAAATGAAAGGACAAACGTTCTAACATGCTCATTTACAGAGAGAGAAACTGCTTTGCTCCCTCAGGTTATGTTCTAAACCATTAGTGGTCAGATATTTCAAACTCACCGCATGTTGTTCTGCAGTGTGAATCATTGAATTAATAGAGCTGATCGGCTTTTAGTATTGGGTACATGAGACAGCTTGTTCTGACAATCTGAAATTACTAGACACTGATAATTGAATTGAGACCTATTCAATTAACATGTTCTCTTTTCAGTAAAATGAATGAATCCAAGTTCAAAACAGAGGAAACCCTCCTTTCACTTTGTGTGGAATACAATTTAATTAATCTTCATTTTTGGCAATTGACTATCAATGAAATAATTAAGCCTTTCTGAATAAAACTTGAAAAATAGAAAACAAAAGGTGAAAAAAATCAGACTTTGTTATGTCCAGCTTGGATTTAACTCAGGTTTATCAAACATTGTCTTTGCAATTTAAATTAACGCAACATGGACCAGAGCATAATTAGTCACATTTGGCTCAAGCGCTCTGCTAATGCCTGACTAACTCCTTCCATTTGGAATCAAGCCATATTATATTATAATATAATAATAATCCTTGCACCTGATACAGTATCTATCAAAATATCTCAAAGCACTTTGCAGGGAATTGATTGTGTATTTTGCAGGCGAATGCAGCAGCAAGTTTGCCACCGACAATGTCCCACAAATAGCCATGAAGTGAATGACTGATTAATCTGGAGAATTGTTGGCCAAGACAATAGAGAGAAATCCCTTCTCTTTTCAAATAATACCACAGGATCTCACATGAGGACAGGCAGGCAAGACCTCCCTTTAACAACTCATTTGGTGGATGGCACCTCAAATAATACAGAACTTCTCCCAATACTGCAATGGGTGAGTGGGGGGAGGGGAGCAGGGGCTACTTTATTAGTCCTGATGTGGGAGTTAAAACCCACAACTTTCTGACTCAGAGGCAAGACCAACTGAGCCACTGGCACAGCAGACTGAGCTGTATCATTTATTAAACACACAGAGTAATGACTTTCATTTTGGTGAAATTGCTTTATGAAACGATGCCAGATCATTTCTTTCACGTCTGTTTCCTGTTTCACATGATGTAGTACCTCAGTAAATAAAGGATAGTCATGTTACTGTGGTATTTAGTACACTGCATCCTAGAATCAGAAAGTGCCCTGAATAAATTACAAAGCTGTTCAGTCTCAAAGCGACTTCACTCCAAAACCTTCTAAAGCCAATCAGGCTTTAAGGTTAATTATACTGTTAAAATGTGCCCATTTTTGCTAAATCTGTGAGTTTTACTCTTTATGTTCAAACCTACAGCTTTCCCACGAGTTGGCACCTTTCATTAGTGTTAGTTTGCTTACTGTCATGGATGCTGTAGCTATCTCATATCCCCAGGAGTAAGTGGGGAGGTGGGAGAAATTATATGATGGGAGGGTGTGTGGAATGATCGCATTCTCGGGAGCTACAGTATTGAAACACAGCCTCAAGTCTGGTGACTTCATCGCCAGAGTGGGATTGGTCTACATTCAACTATCTTAACATTTCATACCCTCTCTGCACTCCCCCACATCGGTCCTACTCACAGCAGAATAATGGGCATCATTAACTGCTGCAGCACTACTCACTTTAAATGTCAGTGCTAAAGGGTCAGCATTAAAATATACCCTCTTTCTCCAAACACAGAATAGTAACATTAACTACCATTGAGCCAAGCTGACACACATATGTATATATGTATGTTTGGAGATATATACATATACACATGTCTATACAATATTGTTTCGCCCACAAAATATACAGTCAATTCACTTTACAGTACATTCTGTGAAGCGCTTTGAGACGTCTCGAAGACATGATAAGGCGCTATATCAAATGCAAGGATTATTATTATTATACACATAAACACACCCATATAGACCCACACGTCGTCAAATATATATTTATACACACATATTCACTACACCCATGCACTAAGGACTAAATCAGTGCTGAGCCTTATATTAGGACTGGTGCCACAGACCACAGAACTAATCACACCAGCTCCACTAATCCACTCACTTTATTCTGAATAAACTTAAATGGAGCCAGACAGTCGAGAGTGACCACTACAGTCCCTCGATGTTCATGTCTCTAAATGCATAAGCCAGTCTCTGTCTCCCAGATGCAGTAACTAATACTTCCGAGAAGCAGCTCGCCAGACATCTCCCACGTTTCCGTGGGAGTCGATTTCACTGCCCTTTTAGGTAGGCTGACAGAGGAAAGGTTTTGATGGTGGATTTTACTCATGATGAAGGAGGTTAATGCGGGAATGAAACATTTTCTGATTTCAGGTAACAAATGAAGGCATCAGGCTCTCTCAGATCAAGTACAGGTCAGCTGAAGTGTCCTACATAATCTATGTATTTGTTAACACTTCAACTATCAGACATTCTATAGATTTGAAAATTACCACAGCTCTTATATACTACAAATTTCAGACTATGCAAATAACAGTAATATTCCTTGCATTTAATATAGCGCCTGTAACACCTTGAAGTTTCTGTCACATGTAGTGGCTGTGTATTTGGAGATAATATCCTTGCATTTGATAGAGCGCTTTTCAAGTCTTCTAGACGTCACAAAGCGCTTCACAGAATAGACTGTAAAGTGAATTGACTGTATATTTGTGGGTGAAATTATATAAATTGGGCAGCCAATTTACCCCCTATAACAATAACAACAACTTGCATTTATATAGCGCCTTTCGTGCAGAGCAGCGGCTCGGAGAGTTTAACAGTGGCAGAGCCTGACGACAAGTCAGGAGGAGCGGAGAGATTACCGTAAGCATAGTCAAAGACTACGGAGCTTCAGGTCTATACCATGAATAGTTTTATTTTTGTATCATCTGAAG